ATATTTATAATTCATCTCATGATTAATCTATCGTACAAGACTATTCCTTAAAAGCAGCATATCATTTTATTTTGGAATGTTCTTTGCCCTTTATTTCATGCCACTCATGAGTCTCTGGAGTTCCTTTCTAAAGACTATAAAGTTTGAAGACTGGAGACCCAAGGTAATGGATGTAAGTCCTATCATCACTGCAATCCAACCCTATCAGTGTAGTCTAAAATTATATACATTTAAGGACATACTGACCAGTCAAGCCAGAGCACTATCCCACAAGTAGATACAGAAAACTCACTTGAGGCACAAGCCTGAGAAACAAACCACAGGCAAGTACAGATTGGCTTTTGAACAGTATCATGATTTAGGCTTGAGTATTATGAAACTGTAATAATCAAAGTAATTATAACAATAACAATAATATTATCTGCTTCTTGACAACTAAGCTGTTCCTGACAACCATGAAAAAAAAAAAAAGTATTTTGTGCCCAAATAACAAGCTAACCAGGAAAAATACAGGGACTTGCTATTTTTACTGAGTCCTATCTACTGATAAAACTATCAAAATAAAATATATCCTAAATATTCAGTCTTTCAGTAATCAGCAATAACATCTAAATTTTTCAGCGCTTACGAGTATTTGCTTCAGTTTGCTTCCCAGTTTGCTTTACTCTACTGAGTTGTTTTATCATTTGATTTGTTATGCTTCTCATAGAAATTACGTCTGGGTTTTGATTATTCCTCCAATGTTTGTTTTGGCAAGTCCAAGACGGTTCTTTGAAATCCTCCTTAAATATGGTGCTTAATATACCATTTGGAGAAATACCTCCCCACAAATAACTTAGTATCCCCAATGTTTTGCTATTTAATTACAAGGTACCACTGAATAATTAACTATAAATGTCAAAATCAACAAAATGTACTACGCACAGTAGGCATTCAAGAAACGTTTGAGAGAGTGAAATGTTTAATAATGTTGTACATCTGCAACAGAAAAAGAATTCAAAGGTGAGTCTGAGGACTGAGTCTTGGTCCTTTATACATTTATTTTAAAGGTAAAACTTTTCACAAACACTGATTTGCTAAGTCCTGTGTGTAAAAATTCTCATTTTAATATTAATTACCCCATATATCACAGAGGGGAAACGCTTGAAAGCTACTTTTTCAAAGATCAAATAGAGTGAAATGAAAATTAAAAATTCTGTACATAAATTTCACAAAAACACTGTTTTTAAAAAAAAAAGCTTCCCTTGATCACAACTGCCCTCTAAGTTTTTTATATATATGTGTGTGTATGTACATCTATATGTATATTTTATATATATGTATATATAAAACGTATCTAATTATATTAGATTATCTGAAATGAAGTATTGGAGTCATTCAACACAACCTATATCACATGGTAACTTTCTAAGACACACTTCTCTTGATCTCACCTAGCATAAAACATGATATGTGGGACTCATCAAACACTATAGGCAAGAAGAAACTTAAAATTTCCCAGGCCACACTTCTTTACCAGGTGACTGAAGAACAGAAAATCAGGTCATCTGCCCCAGGTTAGCCAGTAAGAGGCAAAAATAGAACCAGTGTGAAATCAGTAATAAAAAGAAAGTCACAGTTGCTGCTTGTGAGCCTGGCCTCATAATTCCAATAGTAAAAGCAACTTCTTCAAGTTAGACGTTTCAATGAAAATGCTCTCTAGTTAAATGGGGGAAAGTCTACTCACCAAGAAAAAAAGTTTGAAAAACTGTATTTACAGTGTTTATTTTCTGTTTCATCCCTTCTCTCCACATAACGTAGACAAAGCACTTAAACTTTTGGTATGAATATGCAGTAGAGACTAATACAGACATCCACCTGACTCTTAATGATATCTGAATTTTCTATTGCCTACATTTGAGGGTCACATGTCTGAGGGTCACATACCTGAAGATCACATGTCATAGATCACAAAATGGCGATCAAAAGCCTCTGTCAGTCATAATAGACATTTACACATAGGCCATGGAATGGAGGCTTCCCTTCTGACTCACAGCTGTCCCTTCCTTCCTTTTTCTCTATTTGTACATAACAATGGTAGAGAAATGCCAAGAAATACATAGAACGCCATGAGTGAAGTGAGAAGGGGACCTCAGATATGGCCCAGGAAAGCCAGATAAGGCTTTAGAAAAGGTGAAAACACTTGCGATGGCTATTAAAAGATGAGCAGAATGTCCAATTATTTTTGTGTTAAAGGCAGGGATTGGAAAGGGAAGAGATTATGGAGTTTCTATTCATACTGAACAGGAAAGGCAAATACTTGAGATCACAAATATCCACATTCTATTCAATTAAGCAAATACTTAACATATAAACATATATGTATAACACATATATAACAATATATATGAATGGTATATATATGGTAGCTATATGGTATCTATATATTACATGCAAGATTCTGTCTAGTTGATAAGGAGTAAAAAAATAAACTAGATGGCATCCTGCTCTTTATCTTTGCATTCTGGCAGCTGAAATATAGATAAATGGCTGACGTTCTGTGAGAGTCAAATATCTGATATTTCAAATGTTGAAATATCACCATGTTTGTTTAATCTCCACATTTATACATACTGTTATTATTACTCCTTGTTAAGATGATGCCAACTCATTGTAAATGAATTTCATGATAAATTCCTCCCTTACTAGGTTCCCAAAGTTAAATACACTCAGATGGGACATTCTAGTAACTTTTTTATAATACCTCCTTGTCTTGAAAAACACTTTCAAAGAAATGTTAGTATTTTACCACTCCATAGGAATCAGTAACAAGGCGAGATTCTCCCAAGAATATTCCAACAGTCCTTGAAAAACTAAGACTGTCACAAAACCTGAGCATCTGGCAACTCTGCCACCATGAAGTATCCATATGGAAGAGACCAAAATGTGTCAACGAACCCAAAACGATTTTGGATAGTGTAGAAGATAGAATAAATAATTCAGTATCGTCAACACTTTCAACAGCAGGTAGTGGATATGCTACCTGCTTCTATAATGTGCCAGAATGTAACATAAGTGTGTGAGGCTGTGTGTGGATGTGTGTGTGAGAGAGAAAGGCAGAGAGAATATCAGCATACATGAGGCTAAAAACTATTTTTATACAGAAATATTCCTTAGGTAGTTGTCTTTGTAGGGACATCAGATCTTTATAAGCATAGGTTTATTGACATACAGAAGGAAAAAAATGGAGCCAATGGAAACTTATTTTTAAGATAAACATTGCAACAGATATATTACTTCAGAGTCAATGAAAAAAACCTGCATTAACAACATTATGGTTGAAATTGTATGTGCAAAAAAAGTCAGAAAATCCAAAATTATGATTCCCTCAGCAACTATAACTGTGTCCTCATGCATATATAGGTATTTTGCATTACTGTAATGATAATACATTTCAGCCTCAATATCAGTTTATGCAATGTGACTGAATTAGGATTCTTCTGGGAACTATAACTTTGAATTTCTAGACTTCTTTGAATGTAAAATCTTAACCATAAAATTACATTAATATAGGGTGGGGTTTTTGCATTTTACTTTCTGGCATTTAAAATAACAAAGAGTGAATAGCTGACAATATTAAAGTAGCAAAAGATTGGTTGATTTGCAGTAATACAAAACGGATTTGATACAGAGCTTAATGCCTTAAAATAGTGATGCACAAACTACAAATAATAAAAAATAATCCCTTTGAAGATTAATCAAGACAAGAACAGGTGAGACATCTTCCTAGGAGTAAGTAAATTTACTTGTTCTATAAAATTTTAGTTTCTGATTGGAAAGTATTTTCATTTAACTATATTTTAACATGGATATAAATAAAAATGCCTGAAATAATTCTTTCAACACATATTCCTGCATGTTATCAAGGAAAAAGATAGTGTTAAAACGGTCCCCCATATTTTCAATAGTGTAAAGCTGGTTGGGAGCCACTTTTCCTTCTTGTACTTGCAACATGGTAGGACATAAACTGTAAGATGAAATTACATTACTGTCACCAACCACTTTCTCTTCATGGGGCTGAGACTGATTCAAATATGGTTCACAAATGGAAAGAAACAGATACACAACAATCAAGTTCAACTAAAGAAACAGTTAAGTGTATTTTATGCAATTACTAAGGTATTATACAAGCATGGAATAGCTGAGATAAAGTAAAAAACAGTGAGATAGTTCAGAAGAGAAGAGTCATAGTCACAAGTGTTTGGGGAATATTACAAATACTTTCATGGAGGTGGCATTTTCAATAGGCTGGACTGGATCTGTAGTTTTTCAACAGAGAAGACATTCCATATAGAGAGACTACAGAAAGATCCAGAAATAAAAGTGGTCAATATTCAGTTTGAAAACAAAAACGTTGGCTGAAGGGTAGGCTCATGAAAAAGTTGTAATAAGAAAAGCTGCAAAGGCAGATTAAGTTTAAATTGTAGAGCACCTTGAATGTGGGTCTGACAAGTGGGCCAATGTGTACACAGTGCGGGGATGCTGAAGTTTCAGGCTATATGTTTTTAGAAGTAGAGAAACAAAAGGCAAAAATAACAAAAACAAAATCAAAAACTCATAACGGCAGAAGTAAAGACTAAAGACAAAGGGACCAGTTATGAGATGATTACAGCAATACAGACAAGTTGCAAAGAAAGCCTGAAGAAATGTGGTAACATTTCTCCTCTAGAGGAGGAGAAGGGACTAAAAAAGTGCCTTCAAGATTTTAAAATGTAATGACTATTGGAAAGATCATGCCATTAATTAAAATGTAAAATCAAGGACAGTGTCTCACGCAAGAAAAAAGAATGACTGAACACTATTTAGTAAATATTAAGTTTAAGGTCTCAGGGTCTGTACAACCAAGCATTTCCTACAAAAATGTTGAAATATGGTCCTAAAGTTACTGATTACAGCAATAAAAATAATATCCTTTATACTTACATAAGCTTGTACCTTTCACTTTCTTCTTATCCTTCTAGTGTTGGTAACTACATCAGTTGTACAAACAAGAAAACTGAGGCTCAGAAAGGATGACGTATCAAATGAGTATTACACGGCAAAGTGAGTATTACACGGCAAAGTGAGACTGGAGACAGATTACACGGCAAAGTGAGACTGGAGACAGATTTTGAAACTTTTGGTATAGAAATCACTTTGAAGTTATAAGATTATCAAGAAAATGTGGAAAGAAAAGTAAATTGTGCGTAGAACCAGAAGGAAAACCTAAGACTTCAGTAAAGCAGTGATTATTCAATACCTCGGTAGATGACCAAGATGCCTAGCAAAGCATTACAGGGCCTGGCAGTCAACAGGTATTCAATGAATAGCTGTCACATCAACAGCTAGAGGGGAGACTGCACCAAATTGTGTCTATCTGTGACGGACAGATGAAACAGCTCTCGGACTTTTTTAAGGCAGCTACATTTCTCAAAATGAATTCTTACACATTACTGGTATGTAAAATACACAAAAATGTCCTTGAGTAAAGCAGGAATAGATGGTCTGGATATTCACCTAACTTAACCTCTTTTCACTTCCATTGACAATATGCCCTTTGTGTATATTAATATATAGAAATCCCTGAGACAACTCCATGCAACGCAAGAAAATGCTGGAAATCCTCTATGTTAGTCAGTCATAAGAGTGATAATAATTTGGGACATCTGAGTATGGAACGAAAGAACAGGTAACATTTGGTCTGAAGAGATCATACTGAAATCAAGTGCCAGCCTATCTACACTTGATGATTAAACAGACACTCCATTGTCATGTTCTGCTAGCTGGGATCTTTCATTACTTCTTTCTTGGATTTATTTATGACCAAAAGCTTCCTATGATTATGACTCATAACATCAGATCACTTGGACATCACAATTGTATACAATGGAAATGGTATATTTACTAGAGTCAATTCCCTGTGGCTGTCTTGTTCCAGTCCCTGTTGCAGAACCTCCCCAGCCACCTGCATCTTGTAAGAAACTGGCCATGCCACATTATTCCACAGAGAAGCCGGAGAGAAAAAGAACTGCATAATGTCAGAAGGTTAAAATTAAATGTGAATGCCCAAATTTGGTATCTTAGCAGAAAGAAGTTTTGTGATCTAATCATGTTACTGAAAGGACCAGTTACATGTATGACTAGGGAGGAAAGGATATGAATGTCCCTACAGTTGAAGAAAAACGAAAGAATGAATGAGTCCTTTTTAACAGTAGACTTGGCAATGTTGTTCCATTTTAATATAAATTATATATGAACAATCCAGTCCAAATGGAGAGTAAAAACATAATCATTATTTTAAAATCCAGCCCAAGTAAGTAGTAAAAAACAGTAATCACTATAAGATTTTATTATGGCAATACCTGTGTACAAATAAGAAGAAATATGTAAAGAAAATCACAGGCTAATTCTTGGATAATTTATTCAAGGAGTAAGTTATGAAAATTCATCAATAAGTAGAATAAATGGGGTAAGGCAAAGACAGCTTACCATAGATTCTATTTATGCAACTCCAGTTTTAATTTAGTTTGTATTGATGGACTCTTACTTCATGTGTTACAGTCATGTTAAACCTAGACACAACATGCATTGCATCTCGAGTTTTCATAGTACAAAGACATTTGGACGTGGCACAGACAGTTGCTCCTTTTGCTTCAAGTGATAAACGGTTTAGCTGTAAAAAGGATCTGAATAGATCTAACAAAAATCGGTGAGTGAATTTAGAAGAGAAACTACATGCATTAAAATTTTTATTTTACTCTCCTGATTCTTACACGGTATTTTGCCTTCAGGAGAAACCATGCTGATACTGTCCTTGGTGTTTTCAGGCCTTTGCAAATGAGGCTGAGACCTGGTTCCAGGATCGAGTATACTTCAAAGGAAACAGTACCACCTACAACACCTGCCATCAAAAAAGACAGGCGGCCAATTGAAAAACCTAGGTCAAAAGAGCATAACTTGGGCAAGATGCTGGTTAAATTCAATGAATAAAGCAGAAGAGTAAAGATTTCAAGAAGTCTCATTCAGAATTTAGGAGGTGACTCTGGAAAATCTTGTACAGATGTCAAGCTTGACTGGGATTATGCAGTGGATACAATTAGCAGAAACTACAGAAGAGGTATCGAAGCCCCAGAAGGTGCCTATAGAATAAAGCAGAATAATCAGGGGTAAAAAACAAAGAGAAAAAAACCTGGCCAAGTCAGCTAAAGGTGGCAGTAGAAAGGTGAGGAGAGATAAAGGAAAGAGCAACAAAGTAAAGGCCTAGTGCTGATCTCATGGCAACTGGCAACAACAGAGATCTGGGGGTGAATGGTCAGCTGGAAGAATGCAGGAGCCCAAAGAGCTGTGTGGATGAATCCCAGGTCTTGGATGGATAAAACTATAAGTCATATGAATGAGCAGGTCTGAAGCTAAGGATGTGTCTATCAGCTGACTCAGGTAAGAATGGCTCAGGTACTGTGCAAGACTAAGCTTGCAGGTAGGGGGCATCAGTGGACCTGATTGTGCCCAGTTAGGGAAAGCCAAAGGCACAGAAACAAAAAGAGGGTGAAGAGACAGCAGTAAATAGAATAATACAAAACTGTTACTGAATTATAATTTGTGTACTTGGTATAGACTACAAAATAAACCCAGAATATGAAAATGTGGATTTATCCAAAAGACAAAATTTTATTGTATTTATTTTTACCCAAAAAATGCCAAATAATATTAACAATAAATTTAAAACTGCTTAAAGTACAAAATTATAAATATACTATTATTAAAGCAATGTAAGACTAGATACATAGGAAAAGACCATAAGGAAGTAAAACAGATTAGTACAGTTTCTGGGTTTATGAATTTTCATATTTTATCTCCAAAGTTCTATTGTATAATTATACATTACTTTTTAAATTTAAAAAATAAAAAGTATTGACAATAAAACCTGTAATAGTAAGCATGCCTATTACCTTTTGAATTATTTGATTTAAAGTAATTTCTACTTACAAAATATTTCTTGGGTAAAGAGCAAGGTATGCACATAGGTTTTTACATATTGAAGTCCTTGTAAAATCTCCTAAAGTTTGTAATCCCTACATCTAATTTATCCATAAACTAAGGAGATCATCTCAAGTTTTCTTTTTATAAAAATCCCTTTATTTTTAAATACGTAAGGAATATATGCTAACACTGCCTTTTCACAGTAGTAGGAAAAAGTTAAATCAAAGGAATCATGGTGGTGTGCATACAATGCAAATTATCTGGGAAACAGTGCCAGAGACTGGTTTTAAAGGGCAAAAATCATGTCATCTCCATATTTGTTTAAAACCCCATAATGCACAGATACACTATTTAATAACTGCATTCATTAATGTTTAAACTAGAACTGTGGTTAAGGTCATGTACTCCAAAGGCGAGCCACCTGGGTATACTATGGACTATGAAGGCAGACTACCCAGGTCTACCATGGATTCTAAGGGAAGATTGCCTACTTTGCCAACTACTAGCTATGCGATTTAGGGAAAGTTTGTTTGTTTGTTTGTTTGTTTGTTTGAGACAGAGTATTGTTCTGTCATCAGGCTGGAGTGCAGTGACACAATCTGGGCTCACTGCACCTCCGCCTCCTGAGTTCAAGCAATTCTCCTGCCTCAGTCTCCCAAGTAGCTAGGACCACAGGCGTGCACCACCACGCCTGGCTAATTTTTGTATTTTTATTAGAGATGGGGTTTTACCATATTGGCCAGGCTGGTCTCGAACTCCTGACCTCAGGTGATCTGCCCGCCTCAGCCTCCCAAAGTGCTGGGATTACAGGTGTGAGCCACTGCACCTAGCCAAGATTTGTTTTTGTTTTTGTTTTTGGTCTTCTGTTTGTCTCTATTTCCTCATGTGATAAATGGGCCTATGAGAGTACTCCTCTTAGGGTGGTGTGAGATGTGTAAGGTGCTTAGACCACTGCTTGGTACCTTGTAGGCATGACATAAGCATTTTGAGACTATTTACCATTATTATTCAATTGTTTTGGCAATGAAATTCAAATTAAATGATGAATCAAATTTCAAAATGTTGCAATACCTGAGAATTGTTTTATTTGCCATTCTATAGTTTCTACTTTTACTATTTTTGTTTTTGTCATACAAAATGTTACTTACCAAAATCATTATTAGCAAATTCTTCTACACATGAACAGTATTTGACTTAATTACTCCAGATCTTTACACAATAACTATTTTCCAGAGCCACTGCAGTTAAGTAATTCCTATACCTTAGAATCTAATGAAAGAACATTCTGTCAGTCTTTTTTCCAAACACAGTGCAGTGTGCAATGATCCAATTTGGTTAAATTTTGGATTGCTGGCAATTGTAAGCTCATTTGGAAGTAATTTTTCTCCCTAGATCACTTGTGCTTGACTTGAGAAAAGAAAAAGTGAAATTATTATTATTGCCAAAATTATACAGACTGCCTTTGAAGTCCTGAACTGACTACAGTGTCCTGTACACACTAGTCACCCAATTCTAAGAATTCTAATAGATGATCTATTGATTCAGTTCAAATGATATTTTGATATGCTGCTTTGGTGCTACAATTAAATTTTTTGGAAAAATATATGATGTTTTAAAAAGACTTTGATTGGGTTCATAGTTCACTTTGTTAATGGTTTCTGTTCAAAATTAAGCAAGTTAAGCAAGGCTGGTCAGGTGCGGTGGCTCACGCCTGCAATCCCAGCACTTTGGTAGGCCGAGGCGGGTGGATCACGAGGTCAAGAGATCGAGACCATACAGGCCAACATGATGAAACACTATCTCTACTAAAAAATACAAACATTAGCCGGGTATGGTGGCACATGCCTGTAGTCCCAGCTACTCAGGAGGCTGAGGCTGGAGAACCACTTGAACCCAGGAGGCAGAGGTTTCAGTGAGCCAAGATCGCACCACTGCACTCACGCTCTGGGTGATGGAGACTGTCTCAAAAATAAATAAAAAGTTAGGCAAGGCTAAGTAGAGTTCATTTCAAATTTTGATTCTTGGGTCAAGTTTTCTCAGTCCATACTTGGCATATTCATTACCATTATGAATACAATTCTGACACTAAAGAGAATGCTCACTCTTAGGCTTTCAGTATTATTTACATGCTCATGGCTCCCACATCTGGATTTCAAACCTAGACTTCTCATCCAATCTTCAGATATTCAACTGTTGGAAACCTTCACTTGGATAGCCTACTGGCAGCTTAAATACAAAAGGCCCAAAACAGAATTCTTCATCTAATTCAATAAATATGCTCTTCTGCTGAATTTATTGTTGCAGCTGCAGGCACAACCATCTAACAAACCAGAAACCTGAGAGTCATTTCCTTGGACTCACTCTCCCTAAATTTCCATTAAGAACCTATTAATGAATCCTATGTACTTTACTTCCTAAATATTTCTCAAACATGTCCCTTCAACTTCACCCTTATTCATAACCTTTTACACAATGAAGCCTGGACTGCTGCAAAAAACACCTAACTAATCTTATTTCGAAGTCTATCTTCCCAACAAGTTTATCCCACATCTTGCTACAGAACCATGCATCTAGAATGAAGATCTGGCCAGGTCACTCTCCTGTATAAAACCTAGTCCCTTAAGTTAAGTTTGCGAAATGTCAACCTGTGCTGGCCTCTACCTAGCTCTACAAGCTCATCTCCTGCCTCATCTATTTCACAACTGGAGCTTCAAGTATAATGAAATGTCTATGACTATGGTTCCCATATGGTATACACACCAGGTTGCCTTTTATCTCCATGCTACTGCTATCTAATTTGAATAGTATGCCACTATTCCATGCACGCTTCCCTCAAATCAACCCAACCACCAATTCGTCTGCATCATTTAAGAATCAGTTGTCATCACCCCTGCAAGAAGGCTTTCCAGGTCCCTCCACTGACATCCAAGTTGGATTACATATTCTCTTGGGTGTTCCCATATCTTTGTACTTACCCAACTAGTATACATAAACACTTATTATCCATTTTCAATTAATCTACAAAGGTATTGAAGGTAGAGCATTATCTTACTCACTCATCTTTGTAACCTCAATACCTGGCTCTTAACAATTAATATGTTGAGCAAATGAAAGCATGCACACACACATACACACATATACATACAATCTTTGGCAACTTAAGTTTGGTCACATTGTCATTTTATCAAATTTCAAAATAAAAATGAATATAAATTAATGCCAGTAAAATATACCTCACATTATTGTGATAGTATTTGCTTGACAGAATTGAAAACCCACGAATTTTCCATTATTTCCTGTCCTATTTATTCATGTTAAACTCAAACTGTTGATTTTGTCTTCTATTTCAATAATGATTCTAACATTCTTCAGACTCAACAAATGGGTTCCTAGATCCTGCATATCAGAACCAAATCCCCTGTCATTCTCTTCACTCTATAACTTTTGTTTCAGCCACACCAGACTCTCACCACTGCCCCAAGCACATGTGTCTGTGTCTCTTCCTCTGCATGAAATACCACTCCATCCTATTCTCTGGGGAAACTCATAGTACCAAAAAACTTCAGGCCTCCTGCCCTGGGTACCATGATTCATTTTTTCAAGTTTCTACTTTCATGAATCTTTGTATATTATCTCTGCTTAGCATTCCTTTTCTGTTAAAGTAGGTCTCCCATTCAATTCAGTATGCTCTCATTCCCTTTTCCATGCAAAATACCTGTGACACAGATGTTTGATAAGTATTAATTTATTATAGATTGATGCCTTTATATTCCTATTCCCATCCAATGGAACTATCAGAAGGGTTTGCCTTTAGCCACACACTCTTCTTCTTAAACAAATATTCCTTATGAAAACTCAATCATCCTCTTAGCTTCATGAAAAATCTTCAAATGTAGATCTCCAGCTTTTACACATCACCCGAATACTAGTCTTCTATTTCCAGTGGCCAACCAGAAGTAACTACTTGGATGCTGTGTTACTACTTTAAACCCAGTGTACTAATTGATATGGTTTGGCTCCATGTCCCCACCCAAATCTCACCTTGAATTGTAATCCTCATAACCCCCACGCGTCAAGGGTGGGACCAGGTGGAGGTAACTGAATCATGGGGGTGATTCCCCCATGCTGTTCTCGTGGTAATGAGTGAGTCCAAGGAGATCTGATGGTTTTATGAGTATCTGGCATTTCCTCTGCTTGCACTTACTCCTTCCTGCCGCCCTGTGAAGAAGGTGACTGTTTCTCCTTTGCCTTCTGCCATAATTATAAGTTTCCTGAGGTCTCCCTAGCAATGTGGTACTGTGAGTCAATTAAATCGCTTTCCCTTCTAAATTACCCAGCCTTGGGGATTTCTTCATAGCAGTGTGAGAAAAGACTAATACACTAATATTGGACAAATTCATTTTCTTCCCTTTTCAACTTCACCCTCTACCATATGTTAGGGATAAGTCATGCAAATT